ATACCAGCATGTGCAGTTATACATATTCGGGAGGCATTCCCGTCTTAGGACTTTACTGGTTTCCAAAATGCCAGGCCATGATAATATGAAAAAAAATAGTTCATGAAGCTGTCAATTTTTACGCCCATACCTTTGGTTAAAATCTTTATATTTCACATTTCCACCACTTAGCATTGAAAGATAAAACACTTAATAACATGGTGTAAACTGTGGTGAATACAAGGATAATGGTGAAGAGTTATATTGAACAATGATCACAAAATATTATGGATACATAATAAAATATATCAACAAATGTATAAGTATGCAAAGTTGCGAAATGATGTCAGTTTCTAGCAAAACGACTTGTTCTAGGTCTTATAAGCTCCTCCTTATCAAAATTAGTATTTGATGCTGTTAGTAGAAGAAGTCTCTTGTATACAACTGCCACTGGACGTTAAGCAACCAACAATCAATCAATCAATGTATACAACTGTAAGGTCCTCTAAAGCTTCTTTAATGCTTGACAAGCAATTTCATCTGTCAAAAGATCTTTTCTGAAGAGCTCCAACATAATCTACAAGACAAATAGAAACAATATACAATTATTGTCAAAAAATTGTCAACACGAGAAGGTTATTTCATTGGGTGCGCAGCTTTTAAGGGGCCACAATTGTTTTATTATACCGAACTAACAGTGGAATGGCATGTTTGAATTATTGAAAAAGCACTAACCTTATTTTAGTAACACACACAAGTTGACGTTCGAAAATACATTTGTGTCATAGCTACAGGCGTGGAAGTTCTTGTATGTACAACAAAGGTTGAATATTTTTGTAAAATATCGATGGCCCTGAAAAGGACCGTTTATAAGAGATACCATTGGCACTAGATGCATGTCAAAAGTCTTATTTCCTCGTCTTTCGATGGGCTTTCTGTAATGTGAACGTTGCCATATTGTTTATTTACATCTGTGACGTCATTTTCATGGGAAATAACTCGAGTACAAATCAAGGAACTGAAAAGGTTATTCGCCGGTGAATAATAGGGTTATTCAACGCTGGTGTAAATTTTAAGGGTTATTCGTCCTTCCTTGCAATTGAATGAAAATTAACTGAATTATTCCATGCCACGTGATAACGTATTGCCCAATAGAATTGTTTGTAATATATGTAAGGTATAATAATATGTAGTAGCTCAGCCTCTAATTCACATAACTTAACGTGCAAATTTATAGATGCACTTACATGCATGTACATGTGCATTATGCATTTCGAGAATATAAACATTTTCAATTTTAATTGTACAATAAGAGACTAATTCTACTGTAAATAAACCTTTATAATTCCCATAAATAAAAATAAACTGCTAAGAGCAATATTATTACAAAGTAAGTGTATTGCACAGTGCTTTTTATGTTTTTATTATTGAACCAGAAACTTTTATGAAATCTTACTATAGGTTGCTTGTAATTTCTGCGGTTTGACAAAACATTGCTCTCATTCTTTTTTTTGGCTTTAGGTCACGACTTTTTCCATTTCAAGATTCCTGCTTTTGTGACAGCTTGCTGTCTATTTCCCTTTTCATTGTAATGCATGCAATGTAGCAATGAAAATCCTGATGAAGAAAAAAAAACGAGGTACAAAAGCATTTAGATCTTATAAATTAAGAACCTACTAAACGTTTAAACTTATTGCTTCGATTGATTGATTGATTGTTGGTTGCTTAACGTCCAGTGGCAAATATTTCATGCATATTCAGGACGAGAACAAGTTCACAATAAATACAATAGGTAGGTTCTGTAATAGATTAAGGGATTAAGGTCGGAGAAATTTAGACTGCCACGGGAAATGAGGGTATATTGGATAGGGACAGAAATTTAGCCTTGCAACAGGTCACCTACGGACCCCTCAAAGAGTTGTTGCAAGGGTTCTTAACGTGCAAAGAACGTGGCACTTTCTTTACACGAGGCATCGGATTTAACGTCCCCATTCTGACCGGACGTGGCTGCAAATTTGTACATCCCGCACAGCCAAACGGACGCCCCACTGTAGCACGGGTTTTACTGCCGGTCGGAGGAAGACCAATGGTGACCATACTTCTATTCCCCAGTCACCCTTGGGGGGTATTGCTTCGAAGTTTAAAATTATCCACTGATGAGGTTATATGTATACTATTTGGTGACCATTAAAGTACAGGTACACACCATTCATTTTTCTGTTTGGTATTGGTTATTTTAACATACTGTACACAATAAATGACCTTGCTTTCATTGCATTAATGGTTGCTAAAAGTTTTACATGCATGGAAAGCATGATTGTGAGTGAGACCTGTTTAGTGCCATTTGATAGCCAAGTAAGCCTTAGTTTTTTCTAGTAGTCTATCCAGTCTATTTACTTTATCTTATTTTCTTTGGTGAGGAATCTATAAACATGGAGGAATAGATAGTCATAGTCGGCTTATGACATTAGTGAAACCAGATATATATATATATATATATATATATATATATATAATAAGGCAACAACAGTATTGAGCATTTATGCAATATATAGTTCCTTCTGAGGTTAGATCTGATCATGGTGGAAAAAATGTAATGATTGTCCTATTTATGAACTTGATAAATGGACAGGACAGACTGTCATATCACTCAAATCTGCACATAATCAAAGGGTAGAAAGGTTAGGAGGGATATATTTAAGGAGGTAATACAGAAATTCTATGACCTGTTTTATCTGATGGGAGATACAAGTACTGTGGTTAGAATGCTCCTGGTACGTTTGTCGAACTTTTTAAATGGGAAAAAGCTACCCAAATCTCATGAAAAGTAAAATTATAAGGACAACCAAGCAGAAAGACCACATGCATCTCAAAACCTTGCACTAAAGTAAACATGGTCCATTCAAGAGTGCTTAAATCTTTCCACATCATAAAAATGCTAAACCGGGTACACCAAAACACCTTGCAAATAAGGAAGTAATGGCTGAACAAGTAATATCGTGTCTAAGATCAGGCAAATTTGGCCAAAATCAGTTTCATTGATTTAAAGGTGTGAAAGATAACTTTCAGATGATCTGCGAAATTTTATAAAGCTATCTATTGGAAAAATTAGTGTGGTATAGAGTTTAAAATTGTTGAATGTCCTCTCCTTGCAGATATAAGTTTGACGAGTGAATTAAGATTTCAGTGGTTCATATCTAGAAGACTATAACCACTTTAGCAATTCACTGGTTGAAAAATAATGAACGCATGGCTGACAGAATATTGAGCAACTGTCTACACAAAAAATACTGAAATGACTAACCGATATGTGGAGGAACCACTACCAGACTTTGTGTGGGGGATAGAAAGCAATGGTCAACTCCATTATCTTTGCTTTGAAGCACGTGATCAAATTCCATTTGGCGATTGGGATTCAGAAGAATTATGGCTCCCATCCAATATCAAATCATGGTTGAGTGAACTTTGTACAGACATTCCAGATTAAGTCTTTGCTTACCTCTGTGAAGCTTAAAGATGAAAAGGCTAAATCATGACAAAATGGATCAAGATCTTGATAACGACAAAAGTAAAAGAAGGTGAAAAAATCATCCATTACAGCCAAACGGACGCCCCACTATGGCAATCGTTTTACTGCAGGTCGGAAGAAGATCCAGTTGTCATACTTCTAGTCCCCAGTCACCATTCGGGGCAATCAGATTGATTGATTGTTGGTTGCTTAACGTCCAGTGGCAAACATTTCATGCATGTTCAGGACGAGAACAAGTTAACAATAAATACAATAGGTAGGTCTTGTAATGATAGAGGACCTGGATGATGGTCGGGGAAATTTGGATTGATTGTTGGTTGCTTAACGTCCAGTGGCAAATATTTCATGCATATTCAGGACGAGAACAAGTAAATACAATAGGTAGGTTTTGTAAAAGGGGCTTCCGGGATTAAGGTCAGAGAAATTTAGACTGCCACGGGAAATGAGGGTATACTGGATAGGGACAGAAATTTAGCCTTGCAACTGGTCACCTACGGACCCCTCAAAGAGTTGTTGTAAGGGTTCTTAACGTGCAAAGAGCGTGGCACTCTCTTTACACGAGGCATCGGATTTAACGTCCCCATTCTGACCGGACGTGGCTGCAAATTTGTACATCCCGCACAGCCAAACGGACGCCCCACTTTAGCAAGGGTTTTACTGCCGGTCGGAAGAAGACCAAGTGACCATACTTCGCTTCCCCTGTAACCCTTGGGGGAATCAGAAAATAAGGAGGTGGCAAAATATAGAATAAAGGCAACAGTAGTAAACCGCTGTTCGAAATTCATAAATCAATTGAGAAAGAAAAAAACAAATCCGGGTTACAAACTAAAACTGACGGAAACACATCAAATACAAGAGGAGAACAACGACACAACAGAAACACTAAAATGCAACACACACAGAAACGAACTATAAGATAACAATAGCCATTAACACACTAAACTGCAGACCAAATCAGTCATGATTAAAATTGAGAAAGGAAAGTCGGGAATATGATTCCATGTGTTAATAAAGTTAGGATTACTTTGTGTTTAAAAAATTAATATATATCGTTTAAATTTTGATAGTTCTGTAGTCAGTTGCTGAGGAATCTCGTTGCCACAGCCAATTTCCTTCATACTATGGTGGTAGAATCTGAAATTGTCCAAAATACCTGGACGACTATAATTTGTCTGATATGTTTTAATCATTGCCAGATTAACTATATTTTAAACAATACAAAATAATAATATAAAAAAAACATTGCAAATTTTGTATACATAAGTTTTTAAAATTAAATAATGGTAATTGTGTGCATCCAGTATGGCAAAAAGTTGGAAGAATGAAAAAGAAATGGAAGAGGTCTATAGGCAATACTATGAGAATCTAGATTATGATGAGAATGAAGATAAGAAGAGAGCAGGAGGAAGATGTAAGGGTGTTGAATGGTGAGAAGATCAGGGAGAGTGAAAAAAAGAAGCAAGAGAAAGAAGACGAATGATACCAGCTAGTGATGAGGGAAGCTGATGAAGACCTTTGTGTTCCACTTGAAATTACAAAGAGGCAGGAGCTTGAGATTGATCAAAGAAAGTATCATGAAGTACTAAAAGAGGCAGACGAGGACAAAGGTATACCAATTGTGGCAGGAAGAAGTAAGACAACAGATGAGGAGCAATATCATCCGATATTGAAGAAGGCAGATAAAGACCTCTGTGTGCCTACTACATCTAAGGTGCCAGTGGTATGTCCTGCAAAATCTTTTCCCAGTTTTATTTGTCAGCTGCCTATGATACATCATTATGGACATGCAATTATGATTCATCTTTCATGGTAAATGGCACCTGAATCTGCTTGTTTTCATTGTAAAAAGTAAAATCACAAAATTACTGAACTCCGAGGAAAATTCGAAACGGAAAGTCCCTAATCAAATGGCAAAATCAAATGATAAAACACATCAAACGAATGGACAACAACTGTCATATTCCTGACGTGGTACAGGCATTTTCAAATGTAGAAAATGGTGGATTGAACCTGGTAAACAGCAGTTTGTTCACATTATAATGCTGAACCACCATATCATTAATGTACATCCAGATGTGGGTACAGCTTCTTAATAGTCTGTTGAGGGAATTCAGTTTTGAGATTATTATTTTTTTGTTTTTGAATAATAAAACACTTATTTAAAAAATACTTGTTTGTACTTTTCTTGATATATTAAATATATAGCAACTTTGTAACAAAACTTATTAATTCAATATCGATTATGATCAATTCACTTTGACGTTACATAAAACAATCATTTGCTTCTTTTTTTCAGAAACCACATTTGTGGATGGTTCTGGATTTGGCACAGGATCAGATTTTGGACTCTCTTTTATATCTCAGAGTGCATGCATAGCACAGATCTTGCCTAGACAGGAAATACTAGAACGAGATTAGTAGAACAGCAAGACTTCTTTCTTATAGATTAAAAAGAGTAAAACAAAAATATCGAACTCTAAAGGCAAATTCAAAAGTGGAAAAGTCCGTAAAAACTGACAAAATCAAACGCTATCAATCAACTTAAAAAGTGGACAAACTACTGCTCTATTCCTGACTTGGTACTGAAATTTTCAGAATAAAATTATGGGTTAACGGACTCTCAAGGGGGACCATATATATGCACAGGTCGTGGTATTTTCTTGTACATGGGACCTCGGATTTAACGTCCAAATCCGAAGGACACATAAAGACATCATTTAACTCAATATACAATCTACACACTATGAAAACTGTCTATATACACATATGATATATTTGATCATCTACTATATACAATGATCTTTAACCCCAAACACTTCCTTTTTTCAGGATCAAAATCAAAAGCTCAAACGAATGGACAACAATTGTCATAAAAGCGATCTTGTTAAAAACTATATATTGGTCAGTAGTAGCTTGAAGTACTAAGTTGTATGCACGAATACTAGTATTAACTGGAAATTACAATTTTGAACCCTAACATATATTATATATGCATTTACTGTTATATGATTAAACATGTGAACATTAAACTGACTGCTTTATATTAATCATGTGTCGTGGTCGACCATAGTTACGTTGAAATATATCGTAAGTGAGTCTCGCGAGATTTGACCAAATACAATCAGTTTGGCCGCTGCTATCAAGCGTGAAGCACGGACTTTTACTGCTCTTGAGTAGAGCGTGGTTGGACTTCTCTTAAGTAGAGAATTTTCTTACTGTGGAAGTAAGTTTTTTAATCTTTGTTAAATGTAATGAATGTTTTTAATATATTTTGTTAACAACAGCTTGGAGATTTGGAAGCTGTTTTGTAATTAATGTACTTTAATGGAGTTTGCGTCTGCATTGGTTGCGACGCGTGTTGAGGAAATGTCCTGTAAGTCGGGAAGTTTGTTTTAGCTAAATACATGTACATGTTTAAAGTGGCGTTTGCATAGGTTGCGGCGTTTTATTAAGAAGGTTGTGGCGTTTTATTCAGAAGGTTGCGGCGTTTTATTAAGAGGCTGCCAAGATTCTGCCAATTGCAGGCTGATTTTGTATTGATGTAACTATTTTCGACTTGCCACTTTTCTGACTTATCTGAACTTATAGTTAATGTAGCTGTTTACTTTTAATTTTATTCTCTTTGCGTTTGGTTTAAAATTTAGTTAATTACGGGTCTTTGGTTAATATATCTCGGATAAGTAGTTTCCGTATTTTGTGTCTTTGTCGAAGTAATGAAAATAATAAGGAAAATGCTTTGCTTAGTCCAGTTAGCAATTTTAAGACTTTGAATGCATTTATTTTTATGAAATATATCCATCAAAATGTTCATAAGTCTAGGTAATTTTTATCCTTACTTTTAAGCGAGGACTGCCCGCACTGCACGATTTTTAAATGCTATTTTAATGTTGTTTTTTTTTTCAGATATGGCTCAGGTGTTAAAACCTAACTGTTCCCTTGTGGGTAAAAGTCTTATTCCTATAATATTGAGAGTTAAAGCCGCAGACGCTGACGTAGATGTCGTAGAGTTGTCCCGGTTTAAGAAGGACGAACCCCTGGAGAGTTTTTCTAAAGCTGCGTTGATAGCGGAATTTGAGAAATTGACGGGTAAGTAATAATTGAGGGTGGTAAAGGGGGGTCTGAGAACGGAAACACATAAAATAAAAACCTCAAAACGTTGAAGCGCGAAGCACGAGAAATAAGGACAAGAAAAGTAATAAAATTTAATAGTCAGCCATCCGTGAAGTTATCACAAGGTCCATTTAGAAACTGTTAATTGCGTCTGTTATGTAAATGCATACAGATGAAATTTAATCGATGTTATTACATCGGTTTAGTTTTTTACACGAAATACAGGTCAAGCACGAGAAATTAGATGTCTGGGCATGAAGCACGGGAAATAAATTAAAGTAAGCACGAAGCACGTGTATACATGCAAACACGAGAATACGAAGAACACGAAAGCATGGAAAATTAAAAAGGCCGAACATTTTGCACGTATATAACCCTTTACCATGCAGCCTCATAATTTATTACGTTTTTCTAAGACTTTTTCAAACCTACAGTTTAAAGTTTATATAGCTTTAAAATTTGATGTTTGGCTATCGCATTGGCTGATAATGTTTCAGTTTTAGATATGTGACAGTTTAATTTTGAAATGTTAAGTTGATTCTTGTTGTTGGATGTTATTATATAAACGAGTTGCCAATGAGTTTTTTCGTTTTCGCGGTTCGTGATTTTACACATAGTACTCTATCAGTTGCGTTTAATTGATCAATGATTTTATTTATATCCAGGTGAATCAGCTAAGGATGTATCAACTCTGTGTGGAAAGAATGATTCTATTGAGAATGTGAGATTACTTGTGCATGAGAGCATCATTTTGGCCAATTCTTTGGGGGCTAGAGGTCAGAGGTTGAGCAGTCAAAACACTTCACCAACAGAAACGCCAGCGGCTAAAGGTATAGAATGTTTCTTTTTTACCTTATTCGTGTTAATAATTTTGTGCAGGTTAGGTTGTTTGTCTGCCCTTATTTAGCCTTTTTATTAAGTGTTTTTGTGAAGGTAGTCTCACTTTAATTTGAAACTTAAGGTTTATGAACCCTTATGTAGACCTGTGTATTTCTAAAGGGAAATGTCCTTCACAGCAATAATAATTATTTCTGTCAGAGACATCATTGCATTTAATAGAAAATGTGGATTTTGTGGCTAACAAGCCTATATTTTTACAGAATACAGACTTTACAGAGATTTTCGTTATAGCATTTTAAACATAGATTACTCACTTCTCTGTCCATGATGTGATAGACTGTTTATTGTTTACAAAGTCCTTTATTATCTTTATAATCAGCACACATTAGAAGGTGTACTTGAATAGGTCTACATTTGTATTTATTTTAACTATTTTTGTTATTTTAAACTTCATTTAGGGAAATCAGTGTTAGCACTACTTGCATGAATCTATTTATACAGAATTGTCAAACATAAAGAGTACAAGGGGAAAGGCTGTGGAATTTCTCTAAATTTCCATATGTTTAGCATTGAAACAACAAAAAAGGTATATAATTTTTATTTGGTTTTACGCACTTACCGTTTACAGCTTAGGCATGTAAATGAGGTCAAGGCATTGTCTTGTAGTCATATTACTTGTATTTGTTAATTTGACATTTTGAGTAAGCTATTGTTAGGATGTTATATTAATTTCCCTCTTGTTTGGCTGTTGTAGGAAGTGGTACTAAAGCTGTCCCTGGTGAACCATGTACTAATCAGCAGCTGCAAGCCATGAGGCAGGATTTAGATGAATTAAAGAACAAATCAAAAGATATACAGGTAGATGAAGCACTATCTTATGTTAGGACATTGGCAGCAAGACCAAAACTTACAACACCGGGAGTATTGCTTGCGGCCATCGAAATGTTGGTTGATGCAGCTAACAAAGCGAATCATAAAGACTGTTCATTATTTTCAAAATCCTTTGCCATGTGTAAAAAATTTGAAGATCATGTTGATTTTTGTGGGCTTGTGTTAAAATTGTTTGGTTCCCAGGAGGACAAGAAGATTTCCTCCTTAATTTCAGACTGGGCAAAATCTAAGAAATACGAGGAACCATCAGGGTCAAAGGAGAGGCAGGAAAAATTAGATGCACCCCCTGCTTCAGCTTCTGGATTTCCATTTCCTGGATATGGGTTTCAAAATCCAGGTTTTGGTTTTCCATATCCAAATTTGTATCCGGGGCCAAACTTTAATACTGGTGGTTTTCGGCCTCCCAGAATGCAAGGAAGTAGAGGTAGGGGAGGTTCTAACGGTGTTTGCTACTTTTGCAAGGAGTCAGGACATTTTATTGCCAATTGTCCAAAAATGAAGAAAGATAATTTTTTGTATTTTGTGTATTTTTGTATTTTGTGTATTTTTGTATTTTGTGTATTTTTGTATTTTGTGTATTTTGTTTTGTTATTTTATTTTATTTTATTTTTTGATACCTTTCCCTTCCCAGGAGCTTCGATCTCCAGTGAAATTTTTCACGCGGGTAAGGGTTGAGTGTCTCTCCTTTAAAATAATTTGTAAATACTGAGCATTTTTTAGATGTGAAAGGATATTTTTTGTTAATTTCAGAATATCAGGGATCATGAACCTTTGGTTAAGAAAGAAAAGTTTGAGCCAGAAATTCCAGATTGGGAGTTAAAATCGGGTTTCGATCCATCACGAGTTAAATTAAGAAAGCAAGGTGACATACTTTCAGTAAATTATAAAGGAGAGATCACCCAACCCTCTGTTTGTTTGCCTAAGGCTGAAGAGGTTGTAAATGGTAGTGACTTTAATTTTGAGGATCTGTCTTTTTTAGATCCTAATTTTTTCAAAGCAGGAAATTTGATGTATTGTTCAGAACAATGGGAGCAAATAGGTTGTCCTGATGAAATTTTGGACTGGATTAAAAACGGGGTAGATATTCAGCCCATGTTTAAACATTTTAAGGGAAATTTTAAGGGGCATAGTTATGATTCAAACCTTCCTCAACCTGTATATTTTCAAAACTCTGCTAGTTGTAAAGGATTTGAGAAATTTGTCTCTGACACTTTATTAGAAAGAATAGCCAATGGATCTTTAACTGTACTTGGTAGAGTTGGAGAATGTGATCCCCCTTTACTTGTTTTACCTATCACCATTGAACCATCAAAACCCCGTATGTGCCATGATGAAAGATACCTGAACTTGTGGATTAAGGATCTCCCTTTCTCTTTAGATACTCTCAAAGAGGTTCCTAGATTATTAGAGAAGGATTCGTTCATGGCATCTCTTGATGATAAGTCTGGTTATGATCATATACTTTTAAATCCTAATTCTAGACAGTATTTCGGAATCCAGTTTGCAGGCTGGTACTTGGTTTTCAACTCCCTCCCATTCGGCTTCAAAGCCAGGGCTTATATTTATCACACTACCGGTCTGGTTCGAATCAGCTATTGTCGCTCCCTTGGTGTACCTTCTTTATTGTATATAGACGATAGGTTAGTTTGTGAGTTTAAAGGTACTAATTTGAAGATAGGATCGGGACGTGCAGAAATGGCAGAAAAAAGTCTGTACATTCTATGTCAGGTTCTTGTTAGATTGGGATATTTCATGAATTTGGCTAAGTGTTGTTTTATACCAACCAGGTGTTTGAAATTCTTGGGAATGTTTTGTGACTCAACTGAACTGGCCTTTATCTTGCCGGGGCCGAAAAAAGAATCGTTTAGAGTTTTAAGGGAATCTATCCTTGATGGCAATGAAGTGGGCATTAAAACCCTGCAACGTTTTGCAGGAAAATGGGTTTCATTTTTTCTTGCTATCCCCTCTGCTAGATTGTTTTCAAGGGAAATCAATAGGGCCATTAGCCTTGCTTCTAGAAATAGCAAAAAAACTTGCATTTACAAAGAGTTAAAGGACGAGTTAGAGTATTGGCGTTTTCTGGATAACTGGGAGGGAGCTGCCTCCTGGAGATTAGAAACCCATTTACAATTGATTTTAGCAACTGACTCGTCGCTTTTTAAGTGGGGTGCCTTTATGATTTTCAAAGGGGTTTCAGTAGAATTTGGTGATTTTTGGAAAGACTACGATAACGCTCCTATCCATGTTAAAGAGGCAAATGCCCTACTCCACTCTCTCTGTTCTGTTAAGGAGAAAATTGTTAATGCTCGGGTAGACGCGTTTTGTGATAATCTTGCTGAAGTTAATGCTTGGAGTAATCAAGGTGGTAGGGACCCCTCTTTGAATGCAGTTTTGCGGAAAATATTCACTCTTTCAAAAACGGTTAATATGGACCTACGTCTTGTGTATGTTAATTCTAGTAGAAACCCTGCTGACAGGGAGTCCAGAAGGTTAAGATTGTCAGATGCTATGTTGTCTCCTCTGAAATGGAACTTTGTTGAACAGAGGTTTGGTCCCCACACTACAGATTTGATGGCTTTAGATTCCAATGTTATGATTGATAAAATTGGTAATCCGTTAAAACATTTTACACCATTCCCCACAGTTCTTTCAGATGGTGTAAATGTTTTCTCTCAAGACTTGAAGTTAGAGAAAAACCCTTATGTGTTCCCCCCTTTTTGTTTAATTTTTGCAGTTTTGAAGTTTTGTGCTCAAATCGGGGTCAGAAGTTGTACATTTGTGGTTCCTGAATTGTTCCCAAGACCAGTTTGGTGGCCTTTTTTCTGGGAACATGTGTCAGAATGGAATGTTTTAGCTCGACAAAATGAACTTGAAGCTCTGTTGTACCCATCTGCTAAAGGTTTTAAGATAGACACTAATGGTTTACCTTGGCGTTTAATTGTCGCACGACTTCATTTTTAGTTTAACCTTTTTGTAGAAGGCTGTACCACGAGTTTGGCTTCCAGCAGAACAGTGTTTAGTGTGTGGTTATGCAAATGATGTTGGATATCAGTTTTGCCAGTCATGTGGACAAAAACTTGTTATGATTGATAGTTCTGAAGAAAGCACAAGTGATTGTGCAGTTGAAAGACGTCTGCGATATTTAGACAATTTGCTCGGAAATACTAGTTATAATAGGAAAAAGCTTTCGCTGGAAAAGGCGTTTGAGAAGTTTTTGTCTGAAAGTGTACCCGTTAAATGTATAAAGTCTGCTTCCCCTTTAGATGTTAGGCGATTTATGGTCATGAAGGATTCAAAGGGAAAAACTCAAGTACATGACTTGTCTTGTGAATTTCTTGGTAAGTTAGGTATTTATTCATGTCAGTGTCCGTTGAGGTTGGCGGCGGGAACTGTTCAGTCTATGCTAGGACAATTAAAGGCTATATTTGAATCTAATGGTCGGGGTTCTGCGTGGAATGCAATAACTGACACTGGTAATCCTGTGTGTAGTCCAGAAGTAGAAAAATATTTGCATGCTATTCAGTTTGAGCAGTCAAAATCACATGTTGTACAAAAACAAGCAAAGCCTCTGTTTTTAGACAAACTCCGATCAATTAGTGTTCATATCGATGATTTGTTGATGAATCCCGATTTGAAACCATCCGAAAGATTCATATTTTTAAGGGATCAGGCTTTCTTCAAAGTTCAATATTTTTCAGGAGATAGAGCGAATGACTTGGGTTTGTGTATTTCACAAGAGGTTAAGTTATTACCAAAAGGTGATGGTTTTCTTTTTTCACACACTGTAGGCAAAACTCTTGGAAAGGGGAAGGTGAATGAATTTTCCATCTTGAGATTTGATGATACTTTGATTTGTCCTGTTGAAGCCCTGGAAAGGTATGTTAAAAGTGCCAGGGCGCTTGGGGTTGATTTAAGGTTTGGTTATTTATTCCGTACTTTGAGTAAAAATAGAAAAGAGGTTACTGACAATCCTGTATCTTCCAATGCTATGTATGATCGCTTGAAGAAATATTTAAAGAAACTCGATATTTACGACGGCGAGACCCCTCATGGAATTCGGGGAGCGTGTGCTATTACTTTGGCATTGTCTGGGGGGCCTGCAAATGACGTCATGCAGCATATAGGTTGGTCTTCCTCATCTTCTTACCAAAGGTACAATAGAATGTCCAGTATAGTAGGACGAGGGTCAGTCAGTTCCATCATGGCGAATAAGGGGGCTTCTGAATCTAATATTTGTAGATCTATTTTTGAGTCGTATTGTGAGGTCAATAAACTTTCCAGTGCTTTTCAGTGACAATTTGAAGTGTTTTGGAGTAACAGTTTGTTACTATTAAATGCATTGTTAAATTTGATTTTGTATTTTTGAGGGACTTTATGTATTACTACTATTTATGTATGTCGAATATGACTTGCCTGTATTTTGAGGGATATTATGCATCGCCATTATTTATGTATTTTGAAATTGAGAATTTGTTTAAATAAGACTTGCCTGTATTTTTGAGGAATATTATGTGTGACTGTATTATCTATGTTGAAATTGAGAATTTGTCGTGTAAGGATTGTATCGAATACACTTTTCTTTAATAAATATTTCTTTTCTTTAATTCGTTTCGAGGAAGTGTTTCTATTCTAATTAGAAATCATGTTGACAACAAATTACACATGTCATATTAAGTGAAAATTCATATTTATTTGCGTAAGCCTTAGGGTAGATATTTGAAGGACATTTCCTGATGATGAAAATGAACGGATAAAGGGCAAGGGCACTAAGACATTACTTAACCACCCGATGTTATACATAAAATACATCTAGAGCTTCCAATTTGATTGTCAATGCAGCAGAAACTACCACATAACAGATAGTACACTCTGGATGTCCCCAAACAACAGTTAATCCGAATATATTAACACTTTACAGTTAGGTCATAGGTTATATGTGTATATTGAAGAATTCACGATTTAGACCGTGAAAGTCAGAAAAACATAAAAGCAAGAGGTCAATTCAGGTGCACGAAAGATGATTGATTGAATGGGGTTTAACGCCACTGTCGGCAGTATTTCAGCTATATCGTTGCGGTCATTTTTAGTGGCGGAGGAAGCCGGAGTACCCGGAGGGAAACTACGATCTTCGGCAGGTAACTGACAAACTTTATCCCGTACGGTTGCAAGTCGAGTGCACCTTTTTTGTTGTTGTTTACAAAGCGAGGTGCGAACTCGCAACGCAGAGGTGACATGGTACAGTGATTTTACAGGTAAACTTAACTACCTTAACCACTAGGCCACCCAGGCGCCCACTGAAGAAAAAGCAGTCGGCATATCCTGCTTTGATCAGTTTTCTGTATGAGATTTCATAACTGTGGTTTGCTTGGATTGGCTTCGTTTGTGATATTTCAATTATTTTTGATGGTTTCGAAAATAACTCATTCATTGAAGAATTTGACGTATTTATTTATACAAGACAATATTTAAGTTTTGGGTGAGTATTGGGAATGTTGAGGGTTGTAGTTAGGAATTGTAAGAATATTGTCGTTATAGTATTGAGGTCTGCTGTGAAACCCAATTTTCGCCCAATACTTACAGAAATTTGGTCATATTGAGCATGGACTTACTTATGATATTATTATATCGTAAGTGAGTCTCGCGAGATTTGACCAAATACAATCAGTTTGGCCGCTGCTATCAGAGCAAAGTGGGACTTGCACATGCTCTGTGTATGATATGGGCACAAATCAGGACTTAACATGCTCTGTGTATGATGTCGGTACAAAGCGGGACTTTCACCAAAAAAAAAAAAAAAAAAGTTCATGTATCTCGATATGGCTAAGTTCAAACCCAATTTTCGCCCAATACTTACAGAAATTTGGTCATATTGAGCATGGACTTACTTATGATATTATTACGACGGAGTGTACTGAACGACATTTTACTTGTTGCATTTGTTGCTGGCAAGACAAAAACTAGTTTCAAGACTGTAACTAATTCTGAAAACAAAACTCGTTCTCTTAATGTAATTCCTCTGATCATGATGATATCTGCAAGGACTATATTTTTTCTAGGTGTTATTGATTCAGATAATTAAAAAAAGGCAATATAATTTGTATGTGAATGTCATTCCTATTTTGATGGAGATGTGTGTTAGACAGCTCAGAATGTTCTTCTACAAGTTGTATGCATAATGACTTTACAGTTCTCTTCTCTATGCATCATTGCTTGAACATCATAGTTGCTTGTGAATGCAAACCGAGCGAAGAAATGGTTTGGTTTGTCTGATAGCAACCTGTATATTCATTGCGTATCTTGACTGAGTGTACTTTAATTATGTTATTAACACGTGGATCTTTTCTGGAGTTGGATTCTCATTCTGTAACGTACTGATGAACACGACCCCGTACATCCAGTGCTGGATCGATTGACGTATTTGCACCCTTGTGTCTTTCTCGTAGTATGATTGGAATACCCCGGTTCATGTATCTCGGGTAGCAAAGTTTGGAACCATCAGTGTTTCTTTTGATAACTTCGATACTTAATTATATCACACTTTATATTATATTGATTGTTGATTGTTGGTTGCTTAACGTCCAGTGGCAAATATTTCATGAATATTCAGGACGAGAACAAATTAAACAATAAATACAATAGGTAGGTTCTGTAATAGAGGCGTCTGGGATTGAGGTCGGAGAAATTTAGACTGCCACGGGAAATGACGGTATATTGGATAGGGACAGAAATTTAGCCTTGCAACAGGTCACCTACGGACCCCTCAAAGAGTTGTTGTAATGGTTCCTAACGTGCAAAGAGCGTGGCACTCTCTTTACACGAGACATCGGATTTAACGTCCCCATTCTGACCGGACGTGGCTGCAAATTTGTACATCCCGCACAGCCAAACGGACGACTTTGGCGAGGGTTTTACCGCCGGTCGGAGGAAGACCAATGGTGACCATACTTCAATTCCCCATAAGGGTAATTGGGGGACTTTATATTATAGTTACAGGTAATTTGTACAAATGAGGAACAGGCTAAACATTTTAGAGGACTACGTTATCGTGTACTCATGTCCTTAATCACCTTCCTTGAGCCACATATAAGCCAAAGGTCAAAAAGCTCTCTCTCAAAATTTCAGAAGCTGGTGTTAGTGTTAAAGAAACTGACTAAACCTTGGAATTCAGAACTTCGGGTATAGATTTAAAGTCACCCATAGTAGTGAGTCAAAAGTATTTTGGACACGATACACGTTAAGTGTATACGCTTAAAATGCTTGGTTTGTGGTCAGAAAGACCAAGAGTTGCAGACATCAATCTTTGGGGTTAAATTATCTAAAATTATTGACTTTTTGGTTGTATTAACTACAGACGGTCAAACCTTTTATGAAGAGCTGCAATATGGCGTAATGTTATTAGATTATAAAATCAATCTTACCCATGAGGTCAATATAGCCTCATTTACTTTTCAAATTAAATTTAAATCTCATATTTTTATAAATGATACTGTAAGTCATATTAAAAGCATTCTAGAAAACTGTTTATTGTACATGGGACCTCGGATTTATCTGATCATCTACTTTATACAATGATCTAGATTTTCTTATCATCTCATGTTTTACCATTTTTTTTTCTCTCCAGAACCAGGGTATTTAAGCAAAAGTAAGCTAAATATAATTGTTATATACATATACACATTCATGGATCTACAAGCTGTCGATACCTGTATCTTGGCATTACACAAGGTCATGTTTTTCTCTGACTGTTTATGACGTCTTTTAAATAAATCTATTGGATGTGTACTGATTGATAATTTAGTCTTACATACATGATTTGTTTTATTAATTGTTAGTGGCTTTGAACTAGCTGTCAGTAACTGCGAGTACTCTCATATCTATACTTAGTGTCTTTTTGTTGTTGGAATATACAAGTACCCGGCCACGTCAACTCTGTGAAGTATTTTCACCATCTGAAGAGTTAAGCCTTTTTCAACTGATTTTGATAGTGCGTTCTTATGTTGTACTGTTACATCACTGTCCTAGGTTAGGGGATTGTGGGGATCCCGCTGACATGTTTAACCCCGCCACATTCTGTATGTATGTGCCTGTCCCAAGTCAGGAGTCTGTAATTCAGTGGTTTTCGTTTGTTTATGATTGATTGATTGATTGTTGTTTGCTTTACGCCGCATTAGCACAGAAAGGCTATATCGCGGCGAGAGCTAATTCGCGTTTGTTTATGTGTTATACATATTTGTTTTTCGTTCATTTTTTGTACATTAATTAGGCCGTTAGTTTTCTCGTTCGGATTGTTTTACATTGTCGGGCCTTTTATAGCTGACTATACGATATGGGCTTAGCTCATTGTTGAAGGCCGTACGGTGACCTATAGTTGTTAATTTCTGTGTCATTTGGTCTCTTGTGGACAGTTGTCTCATTGGCAATCATACCACATCTTCTTTTTTTTTATATATATAAGAACTAATACAATTGAATAAATTGACACAATGAATAAAGAAGGTTGATTCAATGAACAAATTTTTATATATATACATGACCTACCTCATCACTATGTATCTAATCATTTTAACGGGATGAACCCTGACAAACTTTCTGATTACAGCCATTATATTGCAGACCGACAAACTTCAACCTCCTCTTGTGTGTCCTAAGCATTGAGAGCTCTGCATTTTATGGAAAAGGTTGATAATGATGAAACGTTTAATATTGAGGAAAATATTGAAAAGAACATAAATATTTGTAATGAGGAATGCTAAGATTGTATATATATTTTATAAATAGACTACTGAAGTGATGCCTTAGTAAGGGAAAGACAACTTAACTGATGCCTTAGAAAGGGAAAGAGGAGACAAAGCTGGTATTCAGGATTAGATACCTAG